CATGATCACATGCCCCCTTTTCCCTGATAGAAGTAACCACTCTGATTTTGGCTTCTCATTCCCTTTTTCTTTCTAGTTTTACCATATATTCATATATTCCTGAACAATATATTATTTAGTTTTGAATATTTTATAAATAGAATCAAACTGACTTCATCCTTCTTTAATTTGTTCTTTTAAATCAGCATTATGAAAAAAATCAGCATTATGCTTGTGAACATTTTAATTGTTGTATAGTATCCTATCATATGAATATATATAACTCTATCCGTTCTTTTGTTGATGGACAGTTGGGTGGTTTCCAGTGTTTGACTGCTACGAAAGGTAGTGCTATGGACATTCTTGTTCTGATCTCCTGGTGCATGTGAGCAAGAGCCCCTCTAGGATATATTCTTTGGGATGGAATTGCCAGGTCATAGTATCTTCACTAGGTAATACCTCATTAACTATTTTTTTGCTTAGTTCAAAAGGGCTAGGGTTGCCATATTTAGCAAATAAAAATACAGGACACTCAGTTAAATCTGAATTTCACACAAACAGCAAATAATTTTTTAGTATAAGTGTGGCCCATGCAAGATTTATATTTCATCCAGCAACCCTAACGAGGTCAACAAACTTTACCAAATCACAAACAGGGACCAATGAAGGGTAAGTGTGAGGGGGTGGTGGAGTATTTGGCCCTTTCTTCCTTTGCTAGAGCGGCCAACCCAATTGTTTACCAGCAGGTTAGTTCAGGGAACTCAAGTGCTTGCTAACCAGCTATGTGGGTAATTGATTGGCTCAACAAATTTAGCACCAACTGTACGCCAGCAGGTGCTAGATGTTGGGAATACAACTGTAAACATGACAGACAAGGTCCTTGCCCTCCCTGGGCTTTCCACCAAGGCGGGGAAATGGAGGAGGACAGTAAGGCAATGACCTATGCACTATGGGAGCAGTGGTGTGCTGATGAGGAAGCCCTGATCTGCCGCTTTTGCTGACTTTGGAGTTGTAAATACTCTTACCATGGCCAATATCAAGCTACCAATGTGACATCATTGAACTCTGAGTTGAGGAGACGCATATACAATCTGTTCTCTGGGCAGTATAAACTGGCTCCAGCACCCCACTATAGGGGGAATACTTAGGACACTTCAGCCAGTCTTTGGGCTCATTTCTGGTTGGTTTGGGGGAAAGGGGCTTAGGCATTAATTATTTCCTCAAATTGAGAAGGAATCAAATGTTGAGAGGTATAAAATGCATTTATTGTATCTATAACATTGGATGCTTTGTAAATATATTTTCTATGGTATATAAATTGAAAAGAGTCTAATAAACACAGTTGTAAATTATGATCAACTTATAGATCAGGGCTCAGACCTGCCCTTTTGTATATGACCTTCTATCAGGAGATCCTTGAAGACCTCTTCTCCTGCATTGCTCCCTCACCTGTATCCCAGCTGACTGATCCACATCATTCATTCATTCCACAAACATGACAGAGCCCTTGGTCTGTGCCAGGCACTCCACAAGGGGCTTGAGTCTGTACTCATGGAGCACTCAATTCACAGAAAGAACATTCTCCCCAGTGTCTTCTCAATTCTTTCTAGGCAGGTTTACTTCATTCTCCTTTTACTTGCTCAGTTCACTCCTGTGTTTTCATGCTGCCTTTCCCTCTGGGAATATTTCCCCAAGGAAGCTTGCCAAAAACTTCCTCCTAATTATCTTTTCTTGAGATTTCTCCTTCCCCATAGAGTGGCAGGTGTTCTTCTGTCTAAATCTGAACTCTCTTGACATTTCTGTATCTTTTTCTGTTGTGCAAGCTATCGCTCTAGCTATCCCATCTCTCTATCAAACATTTTTTCAATGCCTATGTACTAGCTGATGTGCAAGGTGTGGGGGAGCCTCTTACTATTTAAAAGTTTTCATCCATCATAATCATTTTATAAAATTATAAATTTGCACAATTTGTCTCTAGGCCCTTTTATGTTTAAATTTCTTAAGAAATACATGGTGTATTGTACAAAATATGGAAAAGCGTAAAGGAGAAAAGAATAATTATGTAATCTCACAACCCAAGGCTAGCCATTAACTTTTTAGGCTGCATCCTTGCAGTCATTTGTTACGCATACTTACAAACAAATTGGGATCATACCCACTTTTTCACTTACTATAGCGTGAAAATTTTATCATCTTTTTCAGTATTCTTTGAAGACACAATTGTAAATGATGACATGACATTCCATTTTCAGGCTACACCACGGTTTATTTAATTAGCTCTCTATTGCTGGCAGTAGTCTCTTTATAAGTCACTGTTGACTATCTTTATCATAAGCTACAAGAAAGCAGGAATCAATCATTTAATTGTCCTTCCTAGGCAGCACTCATAACAAAAATATATCTAAAGTAATTGGATTATGTATATGCTGTGATCCTCTAGTTACCATTTAAAGTGAAAGGAGTCAGTCTGCATAGTAACTCGGGTTGGTATAAAGGTAACCTGAAGCTCTGGAGAGGTTTGGGAGGGAGATAACCCATCATCAGATCTTTTTGGTTGGGTTTTGTTTACCACTCTTAAGAGGAGCTTAGCTCTGTATAAAGTCTGGGAATTCGTAGGAGCTTTAGACATCACCTAGTGACTCTAATCTCTTTTTCATAGATATGAAAATTGAATCAAGCACGATTGTTACCTGCTGAGACTTGACTTGACTTCCTTGACTTCCTTCCTGTCCTACGCTCTTTTCACCACAATCAGCTGAGTAAGCTTTCTCTTAAAATACAGAAAGGGCATACATTTATCTAGATGTCCTTAGAGGAACTCTATTTCCCTTTAGAGTGCATATACTTTGGTATAAAAATCTAATGGTAAGGATCTAGGTATGCATCCAAGAGAAAGGAAAGCATAAGTCCACACAAAGACTTGTACATGAATGTTGATAGCGGCATTATTTGTAACAGCCACAAAGTGTAAATGATGCAAGTTTCCACCATTAGGTGAATGGTTAAACAGCGTGGTATATTCATACAACAGAATAAATACCCAGCAATAAAAAGAAATGAAGTATTGAGAAATGCAATAAGGTAGATGAGTCTCAAAATAATTATGATGAATAAAAGAAGCCAGACAAAAAGAGTACAAACTGTATGATTCCATTTATCTAAAATTCAGGAAAATGCAAACTAATTTAAGTGACAGAAAGCAGATCTGTGGTTACTTGGGGATGGGAGTGGAGTGGAAGAGGAACCTCAAAGGGGTAGAGGAAACTTTGGAGGCTGATGGATGTATTCATTAGCTTGATTGTAGAAATGGTTTCAGGGTTGTATACATGTCAAAACTCATCAAATTGTATACTTTAAATATGTGCAGTTTACTTTATGTCAATTATACCTCACTAAAGTTGTATAATTTGCAAGATTCACCTCGAGTTTGAAAAGCACAAGATGACTAAAACCTCACTGAAGAATCTGAAGCATGAGAAAACTAAAATTACTTCTGGAGATAACTGACAACGAAGCTTCTATTCTAGTAAGATAGTTTATCCGAACAAAACATGACTATGAGAAACGCAAAGTCATAAAAATAAAAAATAGAAATGACATTTTTGTCCCCCTGGTAATCATGCCATTTCCTCCTGCCCGTACAGTCGCTCTATATCATAATCTTTTTAGTGTTCTATTCAATTTGCTTTTTTAAGGAGAGTAATAACCTTGTTGTATTTTTCCTGAACTATTAGACTGCTCCTTTATGTACAAGATGTCCAATCCCTGGTGTGTCTGTACGTGTGTGGGTGTGTAGAAAGCTACATTGTATCTATAAACTTCAGCAAATGCTGCCATTTGCTTTGGGATTTTGTAGCCAGTTCTCGGCAGTGGCACTGGAAACAAATGGGAACTTTCTAGAAACCATACCCTCTTCTACAAGATGAACACTAGTTTTCCTAAATACGTGACTCCAGTAATCAAATTTTCCTATTTAGATTTTCCACTTACTGTTTTAAAACAAAGAACTGCTAATACCACACACACAGTGCACAACACCGGTAAAGATTCTTTCTCTTATTAGAAAACACTCATAAAGTTTTATTTCCACCTCCCGCCCCCAAATTTTCTTAGCTCTTTTATTCGGTAATCACTCCCATTCCGCAGACAGGGAGGCGCACACAGGTTTTGTCGCACAGCACAGAGGGGCAAGAAAAAAAGCCACTCTCAACTTTTCAGTTCCATTTTGAGAAACGATCACAGAGAACTCCCGAGAAACGACAGCCAGCGAGAGCAGAAGCATTTCTCCCTAGGCTGGGGGTGGGTCGGCAGCCAGGCGCGCTTCCGCGGGAGAGGGGGAGTCAGGTGGCAGCGGAGCGGGCACGGGAGCCGGAGCGGCGCGGCGGGGGCGCGTGCGGGGCGCGCCTCCCTCCGGCCGGCGCGGGCAGGCCGCCCCCGCGCACGCGAGTCCGCCGGCCCGGGGCTCCCGCGCCGCGCTGCGATCCGCGGGGACGCCGGGGGCGTCGGGCGCCCGCGTCACCTCCCCCGCGCGCTCGCCCTCCGCACCCCTCCCCGCCCCCAACCCCTGGCAGGTCCCTCCCCCATGCCTGCTCCCGCGGCCGCCGCCGCCGCCGCCGCTACCGGAGGCGCAGGAGCCTCGCGATAGTGTTTGCACAGGCGGCGCGTGACGCCGCCGCCGCCTGTAACTGATGCAGAGGTTACCCCGCCGCCTCAGCCGCCACCCACCGCCCGCCGCCGCCACCCGGGCGACGCCGGGGGCCGACGCACTGCAGAGGTGCCGGCAGGTTCCGCCCGCGGAAGTCTCTCCGGCCGGCGCAGCCCGCGCTCCGCCCGCGCTCCGACCCCGGCTCCGGCGGGCGCCCCCTCGACGCCTCCGCCGCCGCGCTCCTTCCCTCCGCCTCTTCCCCGGCGCGCCCGCCTGCTCCCTCGCTTCTCCCCCTTTTCCTCCTCCCCGTCCCCTCTCCTCCCCTCACCTCTTCCCTCCCCACCTCCCCCCTGCTCGGTTTCCTCCCCCATCCCCTTGACTCTCCCCTCCCTGCCCTCGCTCTCTCGCTCGCCCTCAGCGCGGCCCCCGCCATGACGGAGGCGGGTGCCGGTGCCGTTGCCGCTGCCGCCGTCGCAGGGGGGGAGTCGGGTTCTCAGAAAGTAGCTTGATGAGTGTCCAAAGTAGCAGTGGAAGTTTGGAGGGGCCGCCATCTTGGTCCCAGCTCTCCACGTCTCCAACCCCGGGCTCGGCGGCGGCAGCCAGGTCCCTGCTGAATCACACGCCGCCATCCGGGAGGCCCAGGGAAGGTAAGCGCCGTCGCGCCCGCGCCCGCTCGCGGGCCTCCGCTCCCGCGCCGCGGCCCCCGCGCCCCGCGGGCTCTTCTCCCCGACCCGGGGTGGGGGATGGTGGCGAGGTGGACGCGAGGCCGCCCGGCTCCGGGGACGTAGTGCGCTGGCTGTGGGTGGTGGTTCGCGGGTGGCGGAGGTGACGGACGAGGGGGTGCGCGCTGGAGGGGACGGGGCGAGGCGCGGCGCCCAGACTCGCCTGGGTACCTGAGAGCCAGTCCTGCGAGGGTGGGAAGCCTCCCCCCGGACGCGAGCCCCTTTCTGCTCCATTTGCTAGTACACTCAGTACTCTTAACCTCCTGGCCTCCGGTCTCTGGTGGGTTTTCCCTCCGGTTGAAGCATTCATCCTCGAGCCCCCTCCCCTTCCCTCGCGCACTCCTCCCATAGAGGCGGTCCCCGTTCTGCAAGCCTTGCTGCCCGGGACCTGGAGGATGCCCCTCGCTTGCACGGTCTCTGCCCTTTGGGCAGAGCCGCTGACATTATCAGAGCCGACCTTGATCCCCTGCCTGGCCCCCTAGAGCAATTTAAACGACAGACTGACTCGTGGGCAGGCTTTTTAAGCCACCCCTCCAGATGGTTGCAACTTTCTCTCCTTCGCCATCACCTCCTGCGTGTTTGTGCGTTATCTCTCTACTGCAAGTAGGCTACTGTTCTTCTCTGACAGGGCCGTGGGTTTTGTGGGAAATATCTGCGTAAAGGTTACTGCAAACACGCACCAGATCGGTTACAATTGTTTTCTAAGTTTTCTGGCTTCTTGCATGCAAGTGTGCTGCCACCAGATGTAGCAGTTACACAGCTAGTGAGACACCGGAGTGCTTTTGACTGAAATTTCAACTTGGTGTATTTAACTTTAATATACGACATAAAATGAAATTTGGGAGAACAGGCATTTATGGGGGAAGAGTAAATGTTCATGGAATCACTTTTAACGCTCTTTTGTCTGGAAAACGCTTAGCGGTGTTCAGCAATTGGTAAATGGGTTGTTCACTCCCAGTTGTGTCACACAGGGAGACTGTAGTCACATTAAAAAAAAAACAACGCCTGGAAGTCCAATAGTCTAGTGAATCATTTAATCAGGAGCTTTGGTTTATGTAGGAATGGGTGGGATTAATTTATTTTGAAAATATCTGTCAATATTTACTACTTACAGCCTTGACAATTCTTAATCAAGTGTTTTGTGCCCTGAATCCAGTGGTTCAGGCATAGCATTCTTTGTCATTTTGTTCCCGTGAGCATGTGTGAAAGTGACAATAGGCTCAAAGATTGGCATGAATTTGCTCTAGAAAATTCATGGAAAGGTTTGGTTTATGGCATCCATTAAACATGCTGAATACATTCACAGACATTTTCCCCTTTCCATCTCACCCCCAACACTGAGTTCAGGTTATTAGAAAATAAAAGTTTATTTATTGACTAACTCAAATTTAGTGCATCTGGTGATTTTTCTTTTTGCACTTGAAAATTTGTAAATGGATATTTTAAAATCTTTTGTAAATAGAGTAATTGGTGCTTTTAGCGTGTTTTTACTTTTGTCTGTAGTTTCATTGAGATGCTTAATGATAGTGTTATGAATGACTAAACGATGGTTTTGGAGAAGACTGTCTTATTTTCTGTTGTTTTTTTTTTTTAATGTCAGGACCTTTTTTCATTCATTTCTCAAATATTCATTGAGCCGTTTCTGTGAGCCAGGTGCTGTACTAAATAGTTAGGACGTAGTGTTGAATTGTTCATCTGTAATGTCTATTATCAGCATTAGTAATTTTGGAGCTGCAAAATCTAGATTGTGAGTTTCTGAGGTTAGTTCAACTCTAGTTAAAAAACTTTTATGCTATTCTACACTTTTCCCGATGTTTGAAAATTTTGAGGGGTGGGGATAATTTAGCTTGAACTTCCAAATGACCAGAATTTTTTCCAGCAGTTTAGATTACAATAGATTTTTATGTAACCCAAACCAGTGAGTCTCTACTAATTAATGAAATAACGACATGCTTTTGTGAAAGTTATACTTCACATCAACTACCTGTGTGGCCACAATGGAACATTTCTTTTTGACCGACCAGCATGTAAATTAAAACTGTGCTAATCCTCTCTAGGGTTATATATTCATCTTGAAGATATAGTCTCAGATTTCACTAGTGCTAACAAGAATTGTATATATGAAGCCCCAGGTATCACCATGGAGATGTTTTCCTTTGGGATGTTTCTGTTTCTGTTTATTTGTTTTATTTTTTATTATTTTTTTGGTGAGGAAGATTGGCCCTGAGCTAACATCTGTGCCACTCTTCCTCTATTTTGTATGTAGGATGCCGCCACAGTGTGGCTTGATGAGTGGTATGTAAGTCCATGTCTGGGATCCGAACTGGCAAACCTGGGCCACCTAGCGGAGTGTGTGAACATAACTACTACGCCGCCAGCTGGCCCCTCTATTTCTATTTATTTTAACAAGTATTTAGCATCTTTTTCAGGTACGCATGCTAGTGTATTGTATAAATTGATGCAGATTGAGAGAGCTTTAGGCTTCTGGTGACTGCTAGTAAGAACCATTAATGTTAATTAAACTTGAATGTATGTATCAAGGAGAGAACAAACTTTGTTTCTTGAAAAATTGAGCCAATTTAATGTAATATATAAAAGAACATTTTAAACTTAAAAGAATTACATATATGTATATGTACATTTATAAAGGTTATATATGTGATGAACTCCTTTTAAGTAAACTTAACTTTGAAAACGGGCTATTTTTAAAAATTTGCCAAAGTATCTCAAAAATTAATTATTTTGAAGTTTGATATATTTCAAACCAAAAAAATCTAAGGTTAAGATCTGATTATTTTTGTTGTTCCATATTTTAGCTTTCTTCCTCCCCTTCTCTCCCTATTCTCATTATCATATTAATAGTTTTACTTGATTGCAAATAAAATATGCCTTTAAATATTATAAGATTTAGGAATTTATTAGAATTTAGGAATTTATATAATATAGCGTAGACTACTTTTTTTCTGTGGGAATCCCAAAGCTTTTCCTTTATCACTCTTGAAGTTTTCTGAGAGGTAGGTGCTCAGCACTGTAGCTCTAGGTTTCATGTTGGATGTTTTAAACCTCTGGTCTCTGTTCCATTTGATCTTCTAATAATCCTATGGTTAAGGAGGTGGGAAGTTAAGAAATTAAGTAAATTTTCAAATAAAGATCAGTTTTGCTTTGTTGAGGCCTAGGACCTAGTTACAGATTGGCTAGATGAGCAGATGGTTTTCTTGCATATCAGGAAATGGGTACTTTCGAATGGCTTATTGCTGAGTCAAATTAATGATTATGCAAAAGACTTGAATTTTCTTTTCTATTCCATCTTACTGGATATAAATAATTTGCTTTAATTTTATGTAAGAAGTGAAAGTAGTTTGGTTAGAAAGATAATATCACAGTATAATTAAAGTGTTGCACTCTCTGGTTCCATATTTACAGACTGCATCCCTTAGATAGAAGAATTAAAGTATTTGACTCCAGATGATTGAGAAATATCTGTAGGGAGATGTTAAAAATAAAGGTGTTCCCGATGGCCCTTTAATTTCTGTAGCTGGAGAAGGACAGGGTTATGTGTTTAAGGATTCTAGCTCGTGAATAGGTTTGTGGTAGGCGCCTCCTTTACAGAGGCGCATTTCCACATTAGAGTGGAGAGAGAGAAGCGGCCCAGGAGACTTAGAGGTCTGGGAATCTGCCCGTGAGAAATCGGCTGTGCTTTAGCCTTTTTGGTCTCAGGACCCCTACTCTTAAAACTTATTGAGGATTCTAAAGAGATTTTGTTTATGTGGGTTATATCTGTTGATATTTACTATAGTAAGAATGAAATAATTTTAAAAATATTTATCTAAAAAAAAGTGGATTATATATTAACAGATTTTTAAATGAAGAATAAATATTGTAAAACAGAAACTTTAGTGAGACTGGTAGCATTGTTTTATATTTTTACAAAATCACTAATTTCTGGCTTACTAGAAGACAGCTGGATTTTGCTTCTGTTTTCAGTCTGTTCTGATATATTTTGATTGAGGTATGTGACAAGAATCCAGCTTTACGTAGATATATAGTTGGGAAATAAGTAGTATTTTAAGAGCCTTTTTAGAAATTGTACGTATTCTTCTTTGATACTATACCAAAATTTGACAAGTGGCAGTTTTTTTTAAAGGTTACTTACAATGTGGAAGTATGTTGTGTTCCAGAAATGATTCCAGGACCCACAACAAATCTGTGGACCATACATTTAGCCTAAAAAAGAGATTACTGAAGGGGTGAGGAACATGATAGCTGTCTTCAGGTATTTCAAAAACATAAAGTAGAAGGGAGAATACTGCCATGCGTCACTTAATGACAGGGATGCCTTCTGAGAAATTCGCCAGTGGACGATTTTGTTATTGTTCAAATGTCATAAAGTGTTATGAAGGGGTACAAAATTTGCCACCCCAAAATGTGTCTCTTTAACATGTGGATTATTTTAGGCTGATTATTTTTAAGAAGCAAAAGACTCAGAAAGTTTTTCTTGTTACCTCCTGCTTAACTGCCTTAAAGGATTCAGATTAAAAAACCTGTCTCAGGAAGCAAGCTATCACCCTGGCATAACATGAACTAGGTGGTAGACAGGGAGGAATCTAGAAAAGTCTGTTTGTTGGGCTCTCCTCTGTTTTCTTCTGTTTCTGTGTAGCCAGACAAATACTTGTTTTCCAAACATTTGCTTTTTTCACCTACCTGTGTATTTCCTTCCTTCCCTTTGAACTCCTTGACTCTCTCCACCCCCAACATCATCTTTTTTTTTCTTCTTCTTTTTTTTTTTCTGAAGAAGATTTGCCCTGAACTAACATCTGTTGCCAGTCTTCCGCTTTTTGCTTGAGGAAGATTTGCCCTGAGCTAACATCTGTGCCAGTCTTCCTCTATATTTTTGTATGTGGGTCGCCGCCACAGCATGGCTGCCG